ATACATACATATACATATTTCACATTAATGAATACATCTGTATATATGACTGTTGACTCTATCGCACACCAAATGCATCATTCTGTACTTGCATTCTTATATTAAACGCGGCGATCCAAAACAGTGAATCACCATTTAGGCAAAAATCCCTAACACTGATGTTCTTCAACAGTATTTTTGTCGTTTTCCAGTGCAAATTTCTAAAGAATCTTAAATCAAGATCCATCTGCTTGGGAAGCAAAATGACATGAGATGTTTTCGTTTTTTATGTGAAATTGATCAAAATTAAGTGAGTTTATAATTTAAAAAACTAATATCTGCCAATGGGCTCAGAAAAACTTAATTAAAAGGGAAAACAAGTTTTCATTCCCCATTGACAGGCATTTGCCCTTGTTTTAAGCTTAAACTCATTTAATTTTGTTGAATTTCTCAGAAAACAAGCCATATCTTCATATCGTCAATTTACATATCAATAGTATCTTTATTTAAAGATGTTTAGATATTAGCATTGGAAAACAAAACAAAATACAGAGTAAGATCTACATTTTTTTTTTCATAGTGCATGCAATATTTAATGCCTTAAGGAATTTAGCACTTTCTGCTCTGATTTAAGACCTTTTAAGGCCTTAATTTGTTAAAGCGTGAATTAAGATTTTTTTAAGACCTGCAGAAATCCTGCATAGAAGTGGTGTATTCAAGAAATGTTTTTTAATAAACTAATGTGTGGAGCAAAAAAAAACACAAAATCATTAGATTCTTTGATGTTTGCATTGATTAAACTAGAAATGAATAATGACACAAAGAGAGGCAGACAGAGAAAAGAATGAAGAGCCAGATAAGAGTGAATACAAAAAGACAAAGACTTCTCAGTAATCGTTACTCGGTCTAGGTCAGGACTGTGCTTCCCTCAGGATGATAAAATCCACAAAGACTGCCATCTCTCCAGCATCTACACGCTCCTGTTCCAACTTCCAGCTTAATGGTAGCACTTTTGCCAAAAAGTCTGATGGTCTCTCATTGGTTCAGGGGTAATGCAGTGTTATCGTCTCAGAGAAAGTGCTGAAGTGGACATTAGACAGCTCAGAAGATCAGCTTTGGAAAGCTCTAGTTCTCTGCAGTCAGTTTGCAGAGCCAACAACTCAAACTTTCAGTCCAAGTGAAAGGTCTGTTCTTGCAGAGCTTGTAAGGAGAGAACAACCATTATTCTCAAATTTACAGCTGCTTTTTAAAAGATCTTCAATCAATGGAAATATAAAGTTGAAGTGGAAGATTTTTTACTTAGTGAGCAAGAACATACTGTATGTGAGCTTGTGCAACGAGAATTAACCGAGGAGCTCCGCAGCCCTTCCCTGCATGAGTCCAGCGTGATTGATGCCCCTTCATAAAGAAGACAAACTGACCGTGAAATAATTTTGGCTGAAAAGGATCAATGCCCATGACCCAGTCATAAAATGTCAAGAGTGAAAGGAAACTGCCCATTATCGCATAGCCACATTTACTGAATTAGAAAAGACATGCAGATAACAGAAACCATATAATTTTAATCATTTAATAATTTATGAACATTTTTAGGAAGAACATGGAGATATCTAAAGTGGCTGATTTTCTGATAATAATAAAAAAAAAATAGTATAAATCTATCATAACAATAAAAACAACGATATAACAACAACAACAACAACCTTATAATAATATAAAATTATAATAAAATATAATGCACAATGTTATTTTATTAAATGTTCAGAAATATGACTACAAATATATATTTACACTTATATATTTACAATTATTAGAATAATTCTAAATACATTAATTATACATTATAAACAAGAAATAATAATTTATGAATTTAAATGAATGTTAAGTTTACACAATATTTACTCAAAACTCACAAATTTACCAAAAAAAAAGTAACATTTTTCATTAACAGGGCAGTGTTTTCATTGATAACTAAAACAGAAAGCCTTTATTTTTTGGTAATTGAAGTAGAGCCGAAATAAATATAAAATATAAATATTAGATGACAAACTTTGGCAACTTAACGTCAACTATAAGTAGGTCTACTCAAAATACAAAAAAAATATAACTGAAATAACAATAAAGCTATTCAGAAATATAAAAAACTAATAAAACTGACAAAAGCAAACTGAAAAAAATAAATGAAAATATAAAAATAAAAGCCAATTTAAAGTATTAATAAACACTACATAATACTAAATTAACACTGTCACAAGGCTGGTGATGAAAAATAAGAAAATTTGGTCATTGTTTACTCACCCTCATGTCGTTCCAACCCTGTATGAGTTTGAGTTTGTTTCTTCTGCTGAACACAAAAGAATATGTTTTGAAGAATGTTGGTAACCAAACAGCTGGCGGTAGCCATTGACTTCCATAACATTTTCTTTTCCATAGTATGGAAGTCAATGGCTACCGTCAAATGTTTGGTTACCAACATTCTTCAAAATAGCTTCTTTTGTGTTTAACAGAAGAATGAAACTCATTTTCATTTTTGAATAAACCATCCCTTTAATTTGCCTACTGGAATAGTTTCTAAATGGTCAAAAATCAACCAATTAATACACCCGGCCAGTATATCAGTCATAATTCAAATAACCCTCATAAGAAACCACAGGCATAAAAGCTTGTAAACATGTAGAGCAAAGGTCATGTGTTGCTCAACCAAATGAATTGACCATTTCATAAATCAGGCTGTCCAATGCACTGGTCAAAGGTCAGGCGATGCATCTGTGTGGGCTGAACTCTGGTCTAGTTTGTCAATCCATGCAGCCGTCAGACGTTTTTAAACCATCATTAAACACCCAAAAGCGATCAGTCTGCAGTTTGACACAGAGACACCTCTCCATCCCTCTTGCGCTAACAAGCCCATGTCTTTGTGCGACGTGACCTCCCAGAATCCCCTCACGACAACAACAGACAAAACAATTCATCTACGATGACTGACAGGCCGTAATCCACTGTAGCTGATGCTATTGAGCTCCGATGACTAATGAACAACAGTGGGACGGATTAAACATCAAAATGATCAACTTGATTGATGGCAATCTGATGGCGACCACTTTGTCTAAAGGGGATAGAGCACAAACGGGGAGGGAGTGACTGGAGCCAACAAATATCAGAAAAAAACAACAACTTTAGTTTAATGGTAGCTTGAGATGAAGCTTTAAAGTACATATTCAGCCTTTGATAAGTGAAAAGCACCACTTTTCACTGGCTTAAAAGGAGTTTAATTAAAAAGCGCCTAAGAGACACCCATAAACAAACAAAAAACTCATTTACTGGTTGAAACATTCAAAAACTGGCCTTTAAATTCTGTCAAGACTGCATTTTCAATGCCATTTTCCCTAAATTTTTCACATAGCTTATTCATTTCACATACCTTTAGGCTGTATTTATTTATATAAATATAAAATGCAATATACTGCATGACTCGACCCACTATCCATTATAATGAAGACTAACTCCATTCAAGGCCAGCAGAAATCAGTTTTCTGACCTCATATAAACCTATATGAAATTCATAAACCGACTCGGTTCAAACGGAGAAGGAAGCCAGGGCAGGATTCAGACGTTTGACTAGAAAGCAAAACAACTTTGACATTGAACCTGATCAACAAGCTTCACCCCATCTCTTTCTTTCAGTAGATAGATATAGTATGTAGGGATTTCAGGTTGTTGTACAAAATCGACAAGAAAGAGCTGTATTTTGGTTGCTGCAGAAGGAGACATGGAAATAGCAGTTTTGAAAAATCCACTAGTTTATTTAGCATCATTTGCAAATTTGGTTTTCAGTTTTAGTATTGTTAAAAATACATTTTTAATTTCAGCTTTATAAATAATTATTTTGACTTTTTTTTTTTTTTTTGTTAATGATAAAAACGCTGATGGACAGATTGGC